TCACGGGAAGAGGCTTTATGACTATTATTTACGCTCACATGTATCAGAGTAGGGAAAAGTAGCCTCAGCAAAAAGAATTGGGATCCAATGAATCCTGTTTACAGCCTGAGGGAGCCACAGCAGGACCCTGGGAAGGCACACGCTGCCTCTTCTCGAGAAGGCGCCGTGGGTGCGGGGTTTGCCCAAGGACCGGAGAGGCGGCTGGCAAGGCGAGCTACCTAGCTGGGACAGGCAGGCTCACAGCCTTGGCTCTGCAACCCAACCCCATGGAAACAGCAGTCACCACTGGGCTGGGCTGTGGAGCCAAGAGCAGCCCTGGGCAGGGATGTTGTCCTGTGGCTGAGCACAGACACTGACAGAGAGGGAGAGATCTGCAACCCAGACCCACCTTCATCCCACAGCCGGCCCCCGCCTGCCCCGTGCCGTGGCTGTGTGGCTCTATGGGCAGGCTGGCTGAAAGGGGCCATGGGGCGTCTGGATCTGCCTCTGCTCCGAGGGAGACACCAACAGCTCAGCCACGCTTCGGCTGGCTGCGTCCTCAGAGCCTCCTGGGGTGGAGACCCTCCTTGGGTGACACCACCCTGCTCCTGAAGGGTGTGCAAACCCCGCTATCCAAGCTGTAGCTTGTGACCCTCGGCCCTTGCAAAGTCACCTGGCACTGCCAGGAGGAGTCTGGCTCTATTGCCTCTCTCACTCCCTTTCAAAGAGGTGCCAGCCATTGTCAGCTCATCCCTTTGCTTCTTCCTTGCCAGACTGAACAAGCCCATCTCCCTCTCAGGCTCTGGGCAGCAGGTCCTGGCCTTGTCCCACCAGACCCAATCCAGTTTTTCAGCATCCCTCTTGAACCGGGAGATTGGAAGGAGGACAGCATTTCAGGTGTGGACTCGACAGCACCAAGCAGAGAACGAGTAGCCGCACCAGCCACACTCCTCCAGATGTAGCCAGGACGTGGGCTCCACCGCCGGCTCATGTTTACCCGGGGTCCCTGAAACCCCTTCCTGCTCCTTCTCAGCAGAGCTGCTGCTCCACTAGTAGATTTGCTTTCCAGCTCAAAGTGCCTAGCAATACTCCATGGAGTAGGACATTAGGGGATGGCACTATCACATGTATGATGCTTAGAAAGTGTAATTTTTCTAGGAAGGGTAATTAATTAGTTACAAATGTAAATCTCTCACTGTCCAGCTGTTACAATCCTGCACAGAATGTGCGCAGCTGCTGGAGGCAGCTCTCCTTTCCTTTTCCTCTCCCTTTCTTTTTCCTTCCCCCTTCCCCTTCCCCTTCCCCTTCCCCTTCCCCTTCCCCTTCTCCTTCCCTTCCCTTCCCTTCCCCTTCCTTCTCCTGCCTTGCCTTGCCTTGCCTTGCCTTGCCTTGCCTTGCATTTCCTTTCCTTGCCTTGCATTTACTCCCTGTCTCTCCATCACCCAGGACAAGCACACCCCCTGGGTGAGATGGGGGTGGCCAGAGCTCGGGCTGCAGGGGCAGGAGCCAGCCCCAGCCTCTTGCCTCTAGAGAGGAGCCAAGGTGGAGGAAATTTCTGTCCGCCTGCATTGGGTTCGCATGACGAGGTTTTGGTAGCGGGGGGCTTCTGTGAGAAGCTGCTCGCGCCTCCCCCCTGTCCCATGGAGC